ATTTATTGGCAATTAAGGTGTTTGCTCTTGAGCGGAGAGAGAGAGAGAGAGAGAGGCAACAATGACGAAACACAATATCAACAGCATTTTTTCAGTGCAGTAAAATGAGCGTCTGACGAAGGGTCAAGAGCGCTTCACATAAGGCAGTGCAAATAACAGCAGCAGCAACGGAGAGCCTTGCGTGACACTTTCAGCACATCATAGTAGTAATAACTGTGTGCTTTATTTTAATTAGAAACACGGCTCACCTTCCCTCATAAATGACAGAGAAAGAGAAGGAAACTAGTGACCAGAGAAGACACACAAGTAGTGTGCCTACTTTTCAAGATCAAACCAGTTTTTTGAAACTGCTTAGTTTCATTCATGAAAACGGTGCACTTTTGTTTGGGTTGTTTCAAAGATGCAAACACAGCTGTGAATGCTTTAACATTTTTTTTGTTTTGTTTAACGAGCACGAACCCGGAACAGTTATTTAGTGAAATGAAATAACTGGTGAAAAATAAAAACTTTAAAAGCTAAAACTTTCAAGCGACATCTGCTGCTGTATAAAGGAAAACTGCTGTACAGCACTTTTCAACCGTACAACGGTAATTCCTGGTTCACAAGCACAAAACATTAAAAAAGATCTTTCCAAGTAGCAAATAAATTCTTCTTTTATTCGATTGGGCAAATTCTTTTATACAGATATTTTTAAAAATAAAATAATTGAAAAAAGTAGTAGGGGGTCAGCAGAAAGGAGAATAGCAAAAGTAGGTATAGGTACAACAGTAGTGAAATGATGATGATGATGATGATCAGCTTATCATAATGATAAGAATGAGACGATAGTGCTCCACACTATCTCCTTTTGTGTACAATTCTCTTGTCGACAGCAAGAGAAAGAGGAAAGGGGCGGAAAAACAACAAAAGACAATAAATTAGCAAATTAGAAAAGAGGAGGAAGAAGATTACAAAGATTGGCTAGTTGAGAAACATAGGAAGAGGAAGAAGAATAAGAAGGAGAAAGAAAAATTGTGATAGTAATTGAAAGAGAGAACAAAGAATTGAAAAATGACTACAACAAACAAGTAGGGGCGTGAACTGAGAGACGAGAAGAAGTGTGTGGGTGTGTGGTGAAGAAGGGATTGGGGAAAGGTTATGACCCTGGCAAAAGTGACATCAGTTCTGAAATAGTATGGTAATTACCAGTACATTTCAGGCGGTGGTGATATGGTACAGAGGATAAGTGAGGGGAGAAAAGAAGGACGCGCACACACACCGACCACCGTACATCGACACAGGAAGCTAATAATAAATAGAAAATAATAAATAAAGTAAAACAGAGTGTTGCAGAGAGAAAGAGCAGAAAACAGAAGTACAGCAGGAGGTGCACAAAAGGGGGCGAAGACAGAAATTATCAACTTTCCATCCTACATCCACTTTTGAAACAGCGATTTGTTGCAGCACTTTTTTGCTCTCCAGATCTGCTCTGCAAGCAAACACTGTTTTTGTTGTTGTTGTTGTTCTCACTAATAAGGGGCGTATTGGGGTGTGTGTGTGTGTGTGTGTGTGTGTGAAGGTACAGATCGGAAAGTGAAACTTGGAGAAAATTATAATAATAATAATAGTGTGCTGTGTAAGGTACAATAGGGGCCCGAGGAGGAGGAGGTCGAAGGAGGTTGAAAGAATGAGGGGTCAATCTGGTCACAGACAGTAAGAGGAGAGAAAAAGTTGATTGATGATATGACCGGGATGTACCGCCGCTTTTCACCAGAAAAAAAGAAAAATCCAATTTTTGTTTTGATAGGGTAGAAAATTCAATAGTAGTAGTAGGTAAGTATCGACAGTTGGGGAGGTTTTGTTTTGTTGTTGTTGTTGCTTCGGCTGTTGATTGTGGGGTTGAAAAAATAGGTTGACGAGATTGTGGCTGAGATTGAGGAGAGAGCTGAGAAGGAATAACAAAATGGCGATAAAGTTTTTCAGTGAAGACGAAGTTTTTTTCAGAAAAGAGAAGCACCGGTTTGGCAGACAGGGCCCGTCACTTTTAAAACCACCAAATAAAGTTTCAAGACCAGAAAGTAGAAGAAAGAAGTTGTACATTGTTGAAACCTAAAAGTAGAACCCGAGACCGATTTGCTCAGCTCTTCCTCGGCTGCTTCACGCCCCTCTGTGTCAGTCCCTCAAAGCGCTTGAAGGTGTAGTTGATGAAGACCCAGTCCTTGGTGCTCGCCTCGGCGGCCTCCTTCGCAGAGGCGGAAGCTGCAGGGAAAAAAGAGTGGAGGAAAACCAATCATTAGAAAAAAAATATTCCAAAGCAAAAATCCGCTCTAAAAGCGCTTACGAATCTTCAGCTCCACGTCGGGGAAGTCATCAAAGTTGGAGGTGTCGTCGATGCTCTTCACCTCCACCGGAATGGCCGCCGGGCGTTCGCTGATGAAAAAGGAAAACAACACAAAATTAATAAAACTCTCTCTCTCTTCAAAAACTCCACCAAAATCCTCTCTCCCCTCTTACTCACCGAATGTGCTCCCAGTCGACGCCCTTGAAGAAGGCGTGCTCCTTGATCTCCTCCAGGCCGCGATGCGAGCCAATGCGCTTCAGCTCCTCAGTGCAGAAGTGCAGCACCAGATCACGAGACTCGCTGGAGATGGGAATCTCCGGCGGAAAGACCAGCGTCTCGCGCCAGTTCATCACCTTCCGGTAGGTTTCCTGGGGGGCCTCGCTGCAGAAGGGCGGGTAGCCGATGAGCATCTCGTACATGATCACCCCCAGCGACCACCAGTCGGCACTGTACGGAGGAAGAAAAAAAGAGTAGTAAAGGAGTTTAGGAGTTTATTTTCAGCCTCTTCTTTTTTTTTCCTTACCTTGCGCCGTAGCCCGTCTGCTTAAACACCTCCGGGGCAATGTAGTCAGGCGTGCCCACCGTGGAGTAGGCCAGCTGACGGCGGTTCTTCTTCCAACTTTCCGCCCGTCGCTTCGAGTCCATCGGATTGGAGGTAAAGTCGCTGGGCTTCGCCTGCGAGAGATCACGGTAGAACTCCGTTCGATGGGACTTTTTCAGCCCCGTGCAGAGGCCAAAGTCGGACAGCTTGATGTGACCCTGAGGAGGGAGGAGGAAGGAAAAGGAAGAAAAAGGAAAAAAGCAGATAAGAGTTAAAACCGTTCAGCTTTAAAAAGCAAAAAAATTAAAGAAAAACAGCCGAGATCATCATCATCATCATTACCGCCAACAACTCTTGGTGCTGCTCAAATGCTGTAAAAGTGTACACGTGAGAGAGGCAAAAGAAAAAGATAGGGAAAAGGATCGCCCACAATAACAGACGACGAAAACTTTGCCGGCACTGTTTCTTCAATCCCCAACATCATCAGCAATGGCAGCAGTAGTAGCATCATTAGCGGCACACACTCTGCTCGTAATGGGCACGTTTTGCTACTTAGCTTGCTGCTGCTGAAGAAGAAGAAGAAGAAGAAGAAGAAAATGAGAGAAAGAGAGGAGAGGAGGCAGTGCCGCCACTTGCACCTGACCTGACTTGGCCATCTCTTTCTTTAACGTCTTTCAACGTTCTTTCATCTTTAAAAAGCTGCCAGCAGAGCCGCATCATCATCTGATCGTCTGTTCTGCGCTCTCTGTTCCGCATTCGATCAATCTAAGTGCATCCCCAGCCAGTCAGTCAGTCAGGCAGGCAGTCAGCCGGCAAGATAAGAACAAATGAAGCAACAGCAGCAGCAGCTACCAACATGCAGAAAATAGAGGAAAGGAGAAAAAAAGAAGAAGAAGAGGAAGATGCAAAGGGGCAAGTCAATGTTGCTGCTGCTGCTTCAAAACCAAACAAAACGTGACACTTTTGATGGTGAAGAAGAAGACTCCCAAACGAAGAAGAAGAAGAAGAAGAAGAAAAGGAGTCAAAGAAAATCAAAATCTTTACAAAAGAAAGCATGAAAACGGTTCAAAGAGAAGGGAGAACAATCTCAACCACATCCTTCCTCCAAACTGGCGATACAGTTTTCAGCCTCTTTCTTTTTCCGGAAAAGAGAAGACAAGATGAGCCCACAACACTTTTACTCTTTCTTTCATCCCCTCCTCCTCAATCTTTTATCGCATCTATCTCAAACGATAGCGACAGATCGGCCAGCCAATCAATCACCGGCACTGACTGGCCGAAATCGCATCACAACTAACACATCACATCACACACTACAACAAAGCAGCAGCAACAGCAGCAGCAGCTAAATAAAAGTGAGCTAGAAAAAAAGAGAAGCCCTTTGTAGTCAGGTTGTCGACTAGCGCTTAAAAAAATGGAGATTGCTGATCACTGCTGCAGGATCATCCTAGGATACTAAACATCCGATCCTAGATAATAAGAAAGAGTGTGTGTGTATTATCCAGGCAATAAAAAAGATGGAAGAGAGGAAGAGAGATAGAAAAAATCCTCCATCAACACTTTTTTACTTGCAAAATGAAACAACAGTGTCAGGTGTCTAGGCAAATAATGCAGCAAATGAAGATCGATAAAAAAGTGCAAAGAAGAAGCGGTTTTTCTCTGCACTGTTTTCTTTCTTTCTTCAAAGCAGAAAAGCAAAGGTCAAGTGGTGATCATCGTTCGCTTGGGCTGATAATGGTGATAGTGCCCTTCGGAGCAAAGCAAAGCAAACACCACAACAGCAATCGATAGCGTCGACAAATTACCGACGCCATTATCGCCGCCACCGACGAAACCGCAAAACAGGCTTCAGATGAAATCGACGACCACAGAAGACCATCATCCGCGGCATTGTCAGCTGGGGATAAAGAGTTGGCAGCTCCAATCCCAAGCACAAACAATGAATGAGGGAGCACAGAAAAAGAAAGAAAAGGCATGAAAAGAAAAAGGAAAAGAAGGAGAAGAGTGCAGTCAACAGGAAAGACCTCTCTCTGAGGAGCCTAACTTAATAGATCAGTAAGTAGGACAGAAGAGAGTACCACCACCACCACCACCGTCAGCACCTCTTCAGCAGCAGAAAAAAGCAGAGGCAGAAACACATAGGAGTGAGTGAGTGAAAAGCCACTGAAGAGAAGAACATCGAGAAGATATCGACGAGGTAGTCAGGCAAAGGCAGGCAGGCAAATGGGGGTAAAGGCACCGACGAAAGCACCAACGGTTCACAACAATGGTCACTCCCGTGAACACCGAGAGAGGAACAACGGCGGCAGCAGCGACCGCAGCACACACCACACATTATAATGACCACCGGTTGAACAGAATTGAGTGTGGAGAAGTACTGAAGAAGAGAATGATAATGGTGGTACAAGAAAAGTACAGTGCCAGCCGGCAATAAGTGGCACATGCAAATTACATTAACAGAAAAAGCTGGCAGAAGAAAGAAGGCGCCTGTAGGTGACAGGAACCAATTGACTGACTGACTGACTGACTGGTGGTGAAAAAGAAGAAGAAGCCGGTGTGTGGTTTTGACTGCTGCTGCAGTTGTTGGTGGTGGCTGCTGGTGATTAAAATCACATTACAGCCGACACACAGTGTGCAATGTTCTGCTGCCCATTCACGACCAGAAGAAGAAGGAGAAGAAGAAGAAGAGGGCTCAACAAAAGAAAGAGGAGAGAGATTCCCTCTCCGTTTCTCCTTCGCTTATCGATGGCCTCAAAACACTCTTCGTGATTCGCAACACCCGCACCACCGACGTAAAGACTAGATAAAAGAGATGATGTGGTCAGTGTGTGTGTGTGGTGGGAGACTATCAGATCACCGGACAGACACTAAGTGGGTGCCCCCACAGATGAGTTGCGGTATCTCAATTTAAAACGGACAAAAAGAGAGATCAACTGTCAGGTAAAAGGAGAAAGAGAAGTCCTCCTCAGGCAGACAATTACCACTGCTGCTGCTGCTGCTAGGTAAATGAGTGGTGGCTAATAAAGTCGTACAAGTTCTCCTCAAACCAAAATGATCATCATTAACTAATATTAAATGCTCACCCTGGCGTCGAGCAGCAGATTGTCCGGCTTGATATCACGGTGAATGAAGCCCAGCNAGTAAACCAAACGGTCATCATTAGCTGTTAATATACTAAATGCTCACCCTGGCGTCGAGCAGCAGATTGTCCGGCTTGATATCACGGTGAATGAAGCCCAGCTTGTGGATGGAGTCAATTGCCAGCGCCGTCTCGGCAATGTAGAACTGGGTGCACTCCTCGGTGAGGGTGTCCTTCTTCATCAGCAGCGTCATCATGTCGCCGCCTGGTAGGAACTGCAAACGAAATGAAAAGGAAAAGAATGAGTTAATGAAAATGGTAACCAAACAAATGAAATGCCAAAAAAATCTCTCCTTACCTCCATAATGAGATAGAGGTTGATCGGGTCCTGGAAGCTGTAGTACATCTTCACCACCCACTGGTGGTCGGCCTCCACGAGAATATCACGCTCCGCCCGGACGTGGGCCACCTGCTCCTTCTCCAGCATGTCCGCCTTGCGGAGGATCTTCATCGCGTAGACGTGCCCGGTGTCGTTCTTCTGCACCAGACGAACTGCAAAGGGGAAAAAGGGGGAAAAATTCGGTCAATTTCTGTTTCGGTCAAATATTTTTTAAACTCCAGTTTTCAGCTTACCTTCACCAAAGGCGCCCCGCCCAATGACCTTCAGCGGCATGAAGTCCTCGACGCCGAGGCGAGATCGCTTGAGGCGGAGAAACTCCGTCTCCTTGGCCGCGTGCTGACTGCGCTTCTCTTGTTTCTGAGGATGGATGATTTTGGATTTTGTTGGGAGAAAAGGAAAAGGAAGAAGGAGGAGGAAATTGGTTAGCAAAACAAATCAAGTCAACAAACAAACAAAGCAAAACAATCCAAGAAAACTCACCTGCTCCTCTGTCAGCCCCTCATCACGCATCGTCTCCTCCAGTCGCTCGTGTCTGTTAAAGTAAAATGGGGGAAAAAGACGTTAGTAAATAAAATAAAACAAAAAAACGTTTTGCAATCAAGTCAACAAAATTCAACGGAAACACTAGCAAGTTTAGTCCATTTCAACTGTGCCACCTCTTCTCCTTCTCCTTCTTCATCTCCCAACACAGCCATTTCAATTTTCCAATTTACCTTTCTGGCTCAGTTGTCAGTTTAATTTTCTTTTTTTTCTTTTTTCTTTCAAACGAACAAACGGAGAGGAAGAAGAGGGGCCACAATTGAGCCCTTCTCGTCAATTAGCAGCAGCGGCAGCAAATTAAAATGGCCGAGCAGCAGTAAATGAAACTGCAGCAGTTTGAAAAAAAAAGTGCCTCTACAGTTCAAATTCGTGCGAGACAAATTGGTAAAAAGCAGTCTCTTCTCTGAGCAACTCTCACAGTACTGTATCTTCCTTCGAGCACACAACTTCTTGGTGCTACGCAAATGCGGTAATTAAATTAAAAGTGCTACAAAATGGTCGGCTGGCTGGACACTATTACTACTCACACTTTTACATTACACTGAAAAGGTAGACACAGTGTGTACCTAACCGGATGCCGAAAGCTGGTAAGCCGGACAAAAAGATTTCCTCATTTTGCCAACAAAAAACCTCAGCACTTCACCAAAACGCCAGCCCTGCCTGTGGTCAAAGAGAGATCAGAGCCGCTGCTGCTCATAATAGCTCACATGTAATCGCCGCTGCCGCTGTAAACGGTTCATTAGCAGGCGAAAATTAGCCACAGCAGCAGCAGCAGCAGCAGCAGC